ACCAAAATAAAAATTCCATCTATTTAGTATGGTTAAAGTTAATTTAAAAAGGTTCTTACTCAGGGAATCCTTGATTACGTTTCAATTTTTTTAATCGTGGTTCTAAATAGGAATCTTAGGTTTTTTTCGATTTATAGGGTCTTAACAAGGTAATTCCTATCCAATCAAATAAACAAAACAAATAAAAAAAGAATCATTCCATAAAAAAAAAGATAGGTAAAGAGAAGCTTCAAAAAGCCCGTCAAAATAAAAATAAAGACAACTGAGCTAACTTGATATGTTTGTATTAGTGCCAAAAAAATCAATAAGAAATAATAGATTTCGCATTTTATTGAATATAATCTATGTGTTGGTCTGGCCGGCGCAATGAGTATTTGGACATTTTTGGTTGAGCTGTACGAGATGAAAGTCTCATATACGGTTCTCAGGGGGGGGAAATTACCCTATCTCAATAAAGTCTATGATTGGTTCGAAGAACGTCTGGAGATTCAGGCGATTGCAGATGATATAACTAGTAAATATGTTCCTCCACATGTCAATATTTTTTATTGTTTAGGGGGAATTACGCTTACGTGTTTTTTAGTACAAGTAGCTACCGGGTTTGCTATGACTTTTTACTATCGTCCGACCCTTACAGAGGCGTTTGCTTCTGTTCAATACATAATGACTGAAGCGAACTTTGGTTGGTTAATCCGATCGGTTCATCGATGGTCAGCAAGTATGATGGTATTGATGATGATTCTGCATGTATTTCGTGTGTATCTGACAGGTGGGTTTAAAAAACCTCGTGAATTGACTTGGGTTACAGGTGTAATTTTAGCTGTATTGACAACATCTTTTGGCGTAACCGGTTATTCGTTACCTCGGGACCAAATAGGTTATTGGGCAGTGAAAATTGTAACAGGTGTACCCGAAGCTATTCCTGTAATAGGATCACCTTTGGTAGAATTTTTACGAGGAAGCGCTAGTGTGGGGCAATCCACCTTGACTCGTTTTTATAGTTTACACACTTTTGTCTTGCCTCTTATTACTGCCGTATTTATGTTAATGCACTTTTCAATGATACGTAAACAGGGTATTTCTGGTCCTTTATAAATCAAAATAGAAATAAAAAGAGATCCTAAATAAAAAAAATTTGTAAGATATGTTATTTCTCACTTGGAGGAGGGGTAATAGTATTTCATTGCTAAAAAAAATCCATTCTTTAAAAGAATAAGAAATGGTTTTTTATATTTATCTTCACCCTTCCTATATTCTTTTTTTTTTACATGAATACACAAATAGGCGAGGGGAATTCTTTGAAGTTGAAGATCAATTTTACGATAAAATGGATTATGGGAGTGTGCGACCTGAACTATTGATTGGTCCATGTAGATATAAGCCTACCACATTTGAATTATCACCACCCAAATGTGTCTTTGTTCCAATTGGCGCATAAGCCTTATGTGAGGGATAAGCTGGTTCCCTTGAAGATAATTTATTCTATGATCATATAAAAATCATGTTATACATGATTAGGCTCCGTAAAATCCAATATTGAATATAAAAAGATCCTAGAAACTTTTTATTTTTATTTAACATTTTAAACGCTAATATAGAATCTGTAAATGGAGTCATTTCCTCTCCATTGGTCCGATCTCGATAATACTATCGGAGTGAAACAAGAGATCTAACGAAGAAAAGAAACTGGACTTTTTTTTAGTAACAAGTAAACCTTTCTGCGTATCTTAAAATATGAAAACTTTTTGAAAATAGTTTCAGATAAATACGCATTCTAAGGTTGGAGACGACCCAAAAAGCACTTGATCCTATCAGAAAATTAAGCCTACTTGGGTCTTGAGTATTGACGCGTAAGCAAATAAGAAAAGAAATTTAATTTTTTGACTAGAGAAGGTTCACTTGATAAAAACAAATTTTTTCTTTTACATTGAACTATTTCTATATCATAGATTATCTTTTGTGTATAAATGAATATAAAGACTCTTAACGACTCTAAGATAACCTATAAACTACCTAGCTTTAGAAATGTATTTGTTCATTCATATAATGATTAATTCTTTTTTAATTATTTGTTTGAGTCTTGCTCGAGCTGGATGATTAAAAATGATCATGTCCGGTTCCCTCGGGGGATGGATCTCTAAGACTTCACCTATCCCAATAATAAAAAAACCTGACTTGAATGATCCTGTATTAAGAGCTAAATTGGCAAAAGGTATGGGTCATAATTATTACGGGGAACCCGCATGGCCCAATGATCTTTTATATATTTTTCCAGTAGTTATTCTTGGTACTATTGCATGTAATGTAGGTTTAGCAGTTCTAGAACCCTCAATGATTGGTGAACCCGCAAATCCCTTTGCAACCCCGTTAGAAATATTACCTGAATGGTATTTCTTTCCTGTATTTCAAATACTTCGTACAGTGCCTAATAAAATATTAGGTGTTCTTTTAATGCTTTCAGTACCTACGGGATTATTAACAGTACCTTTTTTAGAGAATGTTAATAAATTCCAAAACCCATTTCGTCGTCCAGTAGCAACCACTGTGTTTTTTATTGGTACCGGAGTTACCTTTTGGTTGGGCATTGGTGCAACATTACCTATTGAAAAATCCCTCACTTTAGGTCTTTTTTAAATTTGTTTTGTGGAGTTTTGATTCAATTTAAAAAAAACCAAAGCTTGTGTATCTAGGGAAGCGTTTCTTGAAAGTTCTTCCTAGATACACGTCAATTCATATTCATGAATGTTTCAATTTATTTTTTTTATTAATTAAACCTAAGTTTATAATCAATACAGTGCAAAATATTTTCCTAGAATCCCCAATATATGTTTTATATCTTCTAGTTGAAAATGTTCTATTTTTAAAAGATCTTCTTGTTTTTGATTAAAAAGATCAAATAATGTAAATATATTTGACTTTTTCAAGCAATTATATATCTTGGGAGGGAATTCTAATTGGTCAATAAAAATTAATTTCAATGAAAGTTTCTTTTTTTTTTTTATAAGTGTAGTCACTTTATTATAAAAGATAAGGGGGGGTAGGGGAATTGTGTGTTTTGCATCTGCTAAATATAAGTTTTCTTCTTCCATCTGGAAAAAAGGAATAAAGAAATCAATCAATATTCGGGCGGATTCATGAAGTGCTTCTTTTGGTGTTAAACTTCCATTTGTCCATATTTCCAAAAAAAGTATCTCTTGTTTTTCATTCCCATAAGAATGAATACTATGATTTGCATTTTGAACCGGCATGAAGAGAGCATCTATAGGATAACTTCCATCGTCAAAGTGAAGGTCCACTTTGTTGAAATATCCGCGATTTCTCTCTATTTTTAATCCAATAAAAAAATCAATAGGTTCCGTCAACCAAGCTATATGTTGTGTGTTATCAACAATTTGTACATGGGGGGGTAATATTATATCTTGGGCAGTTACATGTCGAGGTCCCTTGATACAAATAGACGCATCACAACTTTCATATAGATTGCTCCTCAATACAATTTCTTTCAAATTCATTAAAATCTCATGTACCGATTCTTGAATCCCCCCTATGGTAGAATACTCATGCGAGGCTTTCTCAGATTTTACACGTGTGATACATGTCCCTTCTATTTCTCCCAGCAAAGCTCTTCGCATCGCAATTCCTATTGTATCGGCTTGACCTTTTATAAGTGGAGATAGAATAAAGCGGCCATAAAAAAGGCGTTTACTGTCTATTCTTGATTCAACACATTTCCACTGTAGTGTCCGAGTAGATACTGCTACTTTCTCTCGAACCATAAAAATTTTGATTTAGTATATTAGTGAATCTTCTATTTCTCTTGATATAGGTTCACTTTTGATTTCTACACACGTCGTTTTTTGGGGGGTCTACAGCCATTGTGTGGCATAGGGGTTACATCCCTTATAAAAGTTAATAATATACCGCTTCTATGAATAGCTCGTAATACTGCATCTCTTCCGAGACCGGGACCTTTTATAAATACTTCGGCTCGTAGCATACCTCGATTCACTACTTTACGAAGAGCATTTATTACCGCGGTTTGAGCAGCGAAAGGTGTTCCTCTTCTGGTTCCTTTGAATCCAGAAGTACCGGCAGAGGACCAAGAAACTACCCGTCCCTGTACATCTGTAACAGTCACTATGGTATTATGGAAACTGGCTTGAACATGAATTACTCCTTTTGGTATTCTACGTGCATTCTGACGTGAACCAATACGTCCCCCCTTCCTACGCGAACTAATTCTCGATATATATTTTACCATTAAGCATTTTGTAAATCTGAGTCAGCGATATACTATATGGATATATCCATTTCACGATTCTTTCATTTCTATAATTGGTTTAGTTACTAAGTTAAGTTGCGAAGTCTTATTATCCCTGTCGTTGTTTATGTCTGGGATTGGAACAAATTACTATAAGTCGTCCCCTTCTCCGTATTAATCGACATCTGTCACAAATTTTACGAACAGAAGCTCTTATTTTCATATTCAGACTCCTTACATTTCTTTTAAATTTACTTTAGAGTTTCGGTTTGATTGGAAGATTATAATAAAAACATTCATTTTTTTTTTTATTTTCAATTTCTAATTTTGTTATTTTTGCCAAAGAGATAGCTAAGTTTAAAAATGACTCCTTTGAATCATTGTTGTGTTGCAAAAGCTTCATCGACTTGTTCTGAAGTTATCCGTCTAAACTAAAAATGAATTTAGCCTATTTTCACAAAAAGAACTTATAATCCAATCTTTATTACTTTATTAGTTGATTATCTAAATCAATAAAAAAGAAAACCAGAACATACTATTTGAAAAGGATTCCTTAATAAAAAAATTCTTGAAAAAAGGAAAGTGATTTTTGTTCTTTCATCCGAAGGACTTTATTCTTTATTTCAGTGACCTAGAAGCAATAAGGAATGGGGATTTCATTAGATTCTAAAATATCCCATTTGGGAATCATAGAAATGGAAAGTTTCTACCTAATTGGCATCTTGAAAATATTACCATATATAAAACAAAATCTCCCCCCCGATTCTTTGCAGTCGGGCTTCTCGGTCTGTCATTATACCACGTGAAGTAGAAAGAATTACAACCCCCATCCCGCCTAAAATTTTAGGTATTTTTTTAGACTTAGAATACATTCGTAGACCGGGTCGACTTATCCGTTTTAAATTTAGAATATTGCTAAAGGTCCTTTTTTTAGTGTTTATATGTTGCAGAGTTAAAACTAAAAAATTTTTGTTGTTTTCTCGATGATTTCTCACACTTTCAATAAAACCTTCTTTTAAAAGGAGTTTTACAATCTTTTCGTTTAATATTACTGGATGGGATTCGAACTGTTCTTTTTCCATCCCTATGAGTATTCCGTATAGAAGTTATTATCTCAGCAATAGTGTCCCTACCCATGATGAACTCTAATTATGGAGCTAAAAATTTTTCTACTCTCAACGTGTTTTTTTTATTGTCTATGGATTATTGTGTTTATCTTACTTTATTTTAATCTTAAAGTTATATACGTGAGACAGATTCTACTCCATTTTTTAATTTTTTTTATAATACCTCAGGAGCTAATGAAACGATTTTAGTAAAATTTAATTGTCTTAACTCCCGGGGGATTGGACCAAAAATTCTGGTCCCTTTTGGATTTCCTTCTTTATCAATAACAACTGCGGCATTATCATCATATCGTATTATTATCCCGTTGCCACGTTTTAGTTCTTTAGAGGTACGCACGATTACGGCTCTAACTACTTCAGATCTTTGTAGAGGCATGTTAGGTACAGCTTCTTTGATAACAGCAACAATAATGTCACCAATATAAGCATATCGACGATTGCTAGCTCCTATTATTCGAATACACATCAATTTTCGAGCCCCGCTGTTATCCGCTACATTTAAAAGGGTTTGGGGATTGAATCATAGCATTTTTTTTATTCTTTTCTTTCACAATGCAAAGGGCGAAGAAAAAAAGAAATATTTTTTGTCCACAAACATAAAACGAAACCTCTTTTTTTTTTGTTTTTGTTTCATTCTTAAGATTCTTTGGGTTGGTTCTAGAGTTATATCGTCTATTCTATCTCCGAAATAATGAATTGAGTTTGTATCGGCATTTTTGATGCTGCTATTGAAATAGCTTTTCTGGCAATATTTTTTGTTACTCCACCCATTTCAAAAAGTATCCGACCGGGTTTAACAACAGCAACCCAATATTCAGGGGATCCTTTTCCTGAACCCATACGTGTTTCTGCGGGTCGTACAGTAACTGGTTTATCGGGAAATATACGTACCCATATTTTTCCTCCACGACGTGCATTTCGTGTCATAGCCCGTCGCCCAGCTTCTATTTGTCTAGATGTGATCCAAGCGGGTTCAAGTGCTTGAAGCGCATATTTACCGAAACAAATATGATTCCCTCGAGAAGCTATTCCCTTCATTCTTCCTCTATGTTGTTTACGGAATCTGGTTCTTTTGGGGTTATAGTTGATGGATTTTTATTTATTCCATCTCTACTACAGAACCGGATGTGAGAGTTTCTTCTCATCCAGCTCCTCGCGAATTACGAATAAAGTATTTACAAAATGAGCGTTTGACTCAAATTGACTAATCATAGTGAAGATATCTAAATCTAAAGATAGATAATAAAAGTCTGGACTGAGAAGTCAAAATAATATTTAGGGATTGAGTGATCTTTTTTTAAATCTATTTGAATTGAAATGAATTATTCTACAGTTTTTTCATGATTCTCTGAGTCTAACTAATCCTTCATTTTTGACTATTCTTTATATTGCTTTAGATTGAATATTGATTCTTTTGAAAAAAGTTTTCGCGGGCGAATATTGACTCTGTCAATTTAGATTTCATTTCTAGGACGAGTTTGTGACATCTTATAGCTAGTATCTAGAAATAAAATAATTTAACATTGGTTTATTCCGCCATCCCAGCCAGTGAATGTTTAAGATTTTTTTTTATTTCATCTTGAATTGAATTGAATCTTTTGTATTCTCATAAGTTCCGTCGTCCCCATCACTTCTTACTTAATGGTTAGGTCCTAATTTTACAATGGAGCTCAAATAGTAATAATATATGAATAATTTAAGTCTTTAGCCATTTTTCTTAGTCTTTATTGGCTTTAAGCTCTTGACTTTATTTTTTTATTTTATCTCTTCTATATTTAATATCTAATTGAATATTTATATATAGATTATAGATTTCTATAATAAGAGTATATTGTTTTTTATTATTGAATATTCTTAGATTTCTTATTCTATTTTAAATACTTTAATATGCAGAATTTAAGTATTAATGCTTCATTACATTGCCTGTTTTGTTAGACCCTACATATTGGAATTTTCAATCATTGAGCTTCTTTTTCTCCCTTTCTCTCTCCCTTCCAATTATCCACATCTTTTTTATATTTTGCTTCGCAACTTCAATAATATTTGAATACTATTTTTCGTTTATGCAAATAAATGGCAGTTGCTACAACGATATGAGCGGTAATCATATCGTGACTGGTTATTTAGATCCAGATAATGCGAAATTGATGAGTTAATTATTAGGTAATTTCTTCTCGAGTTAGTAGTTGTTACTTTGGGTTTGGTTTCATGCTAACCTTAAAAAATAAACGAGTCGCACACTAAGCATAGCAATGATATTTTTATTAAAAATAAATAAAATTTTTATTCAACCTTATAGAATTCATTATTATCAATTAGAACTGTTCCTGCTCATTACACAAAATAATTTGTGAAATGGCCGCTCGGTATTACAGGTAAAAAGAATGAATAAAATTTTATTGAGCTTGATCAAAAAATATCCAAATTTTTATGCCTAAAACCCCGTAGATAGTTCGAACTGAATAACAACAATAATCAATTTTAGCTTGAATAGTTTGGCGGGGAATTCTTCCTTCTCTTATCCATTCCACACGTGCAATTTCCTTTCCGTCAAGGCGTCCCGCAATTTGTACTTGAATTCCTTTTGTATCTGCTTGTTCAGCTAATTCAATAGCTTTTTTCATTGCTTTTCGAAAGGAAACTCTATTCTTTAATTGTCCAGCTATAAATTCGGCAAGAATATTAGGATTTCCATACGGTTTTTCAATTTTTGTGATAGCAATATTAAGTTTTCGGTTTACGAAATTTAATTTTTTTTGTAGAGCTTTTTGTAATTCTTCAACTCCCTGCGGGCTATTTTCAATGAATACTTTGGGAAATCCAATATAGATTATGACTTGGATTAGATCGAGTCTTTTTTTAATACATATACCTGCAATTCCCTCGGTACCCGAGGGTTTGATTCTATTTTTTTGTACATAATTTTTTATAAAAGCTCTTATCTTTTGATCTTCTTGCAGATTTTCAGCATACGTTTTTGGTTGCGAAAACCAAAGTGAATAATGGGCCTGGTTTGTACCAAGTCTGAAACCAAGTGGATTTATTTTTTGTCCCATAAATACCTCCTTTTCTGGATATCAGAATATGCTTTAGTTCTAGAATTTTTTTTCGCTTGTGGTTTTTTTAGCAAACCGAGCTCCACGGATTCAGAATCATTGAATGAAATATCTTTTAGTACAATAGTGATATGGCAGGTCGGTCTTTTTATTGGATAACTACGCCCGCGAGCCCGAGGTTTTAATTTCTTTCCAGCAGTCCCCTCATTAACTTCAGCTTGACTAATAACTAAATTTGCTTTATTTGAAGCCATAGTGTAACTAGCATTTGATGCGGCTGAATAAACCAATTTTAAAATTTGATAACTGGCACGATAGGGCATGAGTTCTAATATAATAAGTGTTTCCTCATAGGAACGCCCACGAATTTGGTCAATAACTCTTCGTGCTTTATTAGCCGACATAGCTATACGTCGACCTAAAACGTATACTTCTGGGGTTTTTTTATTTAGCA